ACTTAAAAAAAAAGAGGTGTAAGCCTACATTTCAGTGAGGAAGGAGAAGAGGTGGTTTTGAAGGGTTTGCAGGAACAGAATGGAACAACTCTTGGCTGGGTCAGTCCATGGAGCTGCTCTGCACATGCTGGGACCCATCCCATGGGCACAGAACGAATTAATGTGTCCCAAGCGTTAGGAGGGAGGAAGATCTGCTCCAGAAAGCCAACCCAGAGCAGGCTGGGGGAGCAGAGGGCATTTGGGAGCTGTGGGGACCCCTCTGCTCCTCGGTGGAGACAGTATTAATCGCTGGGGCTTAGCGGCGTGGCGGGGCCGGGAGGAGGAAATGGTTCCGTGTCTGGATGGGCTTAACACAAGGTAAACTCCACCAAGTTCCAGCCTGACGTGTGGAGGAGCTGTTACCCAGCTCAGCAGCGTGGGCTGAGGGTTCCTCACGCTGTTGGAGGGGCTAAAGCACAGTGTCCCTGTGCCTTTCCCTCTGGACAAAGCACAGTCAGTGACAACAGACATCCTCTTCATGCCCTTCCCAAGCTCTTTCTTACACAGGTTGTTTGGCTAGGAAAAAAAAAAAATTATTTTGTATTGTGGAAAATCTGTCCAGATCCTGAGGAAAATTGGTAAAACAGTGTTTTAGTTATAATTCATTGCGCTCTGTCTCATTTTGGAATCACATTTTTGGCCAGGGTACATCTGGCCAGCGATGCTGTGATAGTGCCCCAAGCCTTCCTCTTGGTTCTCATTTAGGTTAGAAAAGTAATTAAAGGAGGGTAAAAAAAGAAGTGACAGAGTTACTGACTCTCTTTCCAAAATTGAAGGGTTTAGGCCAAACTCCTGCTGAGAAAATAAACAGAATTTCATTTTTTTTCTTGCAAGTTCTTCCCACATATTGAATTTCCATGCTCAGTGACAAGGGGGATCTGCTCGAGTGAGCAGCAATTGGATTCTGATGGCTTTGAGTTGTGCTTGGATTTGCTTTGGAAAGCTGGGGCTGTCCTTGGAGAGGAGGGTTTGGAGCTTGGGGCCTTGTTCTCCAAGGAACACAAACCTTGCAGCCTGAGTTACCAAGCTGTAACTCCTATGGCTGTGCCTGGACATTATTGTCCTGCCCAGTGTCCTGCCTATCCTCCCCAAATTGGGCCAACAGTTGCTAGTCTGAGCCTAGAAACCATTTTTAATTGAGGCACGTTGCAGGGGTTGGCTCTTTTGGCACATGTGAGTGTGAGTGTCCTTCCACCTTCTCTCCTGCAAGAAGAGGAAACCCATGTTGGGATAATTTCTGCAGAAAGCAGTAAATTTGGGGGAGTGGGGGGTGTTTGAGTGTGTCCCAAGCGTAACCACCCCCAGGACCTGTGAGGTGGGGCTGTGCTGGGCAGGGATGAGCCCTGGCAGTGGGTGGGAGATGATTTGGTGGTCACCACGAGCCTCAGGGCTCCTCTGGGCAGTTGGGTGACAGCAGATGGTCCAGGGGACGTGCTGTGGGAGGCAGGGGGCTGGAGATGCTCTGTGCCTCGGGTGATAAATTGCTAAATGTGCCATGGCTGAGCTCCGGAAGCAGGGCAGGGAAGGATGTGAGTGACAGAGGATTCATATCCTGGAAACGCCGCCAGGTCACGCCTGGGGAATTCAGCAGGATAAATGCATCTGCCTGTCCTGCTGCAGACAATCTGCTTCACGTGGGAAGCAGAGTTTCCTGGAGCAGCGAGGCGGTGGGAAGGGAAAGCCCTGAGAGGCAGGAAGGGCCGGGGAGAATGAAGCAGGTAAACCCATTAGCAGTGACCACCTCTTTGTGTGGGGATTACACAGAGCTGCTGTGTAATTACACAACCTGCAAGGTGCTGGGGCTGTGAGGCAGAGGTTTGGAGGTTTGCTCAGCAAACCCCTCCATTCTTCTCAACGGGACCTTCCTCATGGAAACAGCTCCTCTTTAACAAACAGATTTACACTGTTCTGCTGCTCGGGGCAGAGGTTTGCCCCAGCTCCCTCCTCAGCTTGGGAATTGTTCAATACTGGCCCTAAAAGCAGAGCCAGGGCACAAAGGGGGATGGATGTGCTGTCCCAAGAGCCTCTCTCAGCCAGGACATCCCAAAATGGTTTGGCATAAGCTCGGGCCAGTGGGGAGGGAGCTCTGGGGTGCAGTGGAGGCTGTGTGGAGGGGGGGGGGACACCCCAGTGCCAGGGAGAGCTGCAGGGATGGGCATCGCCAGGGCCCAGGCTGGGGCTGTGGGGCTCCCTGGGTCCTTGCTGGAGCCAGCACCGTGTCCAGGGCATTCAGAGCATTTGGATAGACCTAAAAAGGCTTTTGCATGCAGATCCTGGTTCCCTTTGCCCACACTCCAGAATGACCCCACCCCTAACAGGCAAACAGAAACTATTTTGCTGCTGTCATAAGAGTCATAGCTATTTTTAACTGCAAAGAATACATATTCTGTGTTCTTGATTGTGGGAATCCAGGGCTTCCCTCTGGCTGCCCTGGGACCCTGGCAGGGGTCAGGAACCCCCTGGACAGAGCCCCCAGAGACACTGTCTGTGATCTCTGTCCATGGAAAAGAGTTTTCAATCTTACAGGATGAATTACCAGCTCTGACTATTTGATATAAGCAATAATTAAGTGTGGCACGCGTGCAAAAGTAAAATTTTAGGATTCTAGATAAGAGGTCCACAGGGGACAAGATGGAGGAATTGGGTGTGCCTTGTCCTTTTTCTCCTTCTTCATGCCCTCCATGTTTCACTGTGGTGTTGGCATTTTTCTGTTGGTTCAGGCTGGGGACACACTGTCCAACGTAGGTGACAGATATTGGCACGTTATTGTAAATCCAGCACAGGTAGTTTGTGGTATTTAATGTTTGTACCATCCCACTGGGGGCAGAGCCCCACACGCTGCCCTGCAGGACAGAGCTGCGGCAGGGCAGCAGAACATGTTAGAGATAAACAGAATAAACAACCTGGTATTTATTTATTAATTATGACTTCTGCTTTGGCAGCGGGGCGGAAAGAAAGAGATTTTATACAATCTCAGAATCATCAATACCCACAGATTCCGACACTTGATAATATTCTGTAAATGTTGTAGGAAGGGTTTATTTAAAAAGTGTCCCACAGCTCCTGTTCTGAGCCGTGTATATCCTCCGCAGCCTTCCCAAAATGCAGCCGCGGGAGAGCAGCAGAAACCCGAGTTTTCCTTTTGCTTGGATTGCCATCCCTTCCCGGACTGACAAACCCCGCTCGGGCTGGTTCGGCTCTTCGGGCCGGGGCCCGGCTCTGCTCACGGGCAAGGCAGCCCCGCGGCGAGGGGAGGAGGAGGAGGAGGAGGAGGAGGAGGAGGAGGAGGAGGAGGAGGAGGAGGAGGAGGAGGAGGAGGAGGAGGAGGAGGAGGAGGAAGATGCGCCAGATGCTGAGCCAGATGTTGGCGCTGCCGCCGGGGGATGCCCGGTCCCCGCTGCCGGCCCGAGCTCCGGCGCCTCGGCACCGCCACCTCCCGGGCATCCCAGCTCCCGAGTTTATTTATTTTATTATTTTATTTTATTTTATTTTATTTTATTTTATTTTATTTTATTTTATTTTATTTTATTTTATTTTATTTTATTTTATTTCATTTCATTTCATTTCATTTCATTTCATTTCATTTTATTTTATTTTATTTTATTTTATTTTATTTTATTTTATTTTATTTTATTTTATTTTATTTTATTTTATTTTATTTTATTTTATTTTATTTATTTCCTTTATCCCACGGTGCCTCCCGCCCTGCCCAGCAGCCCTCTCCCAGCACGCTCAGGCTCCCAGCACTCACGGGGAAGATTCACGTGTAAGGATTTTATTAAATGTTATAATTCTCCTTTTTCCCTCTCACTAAGGCCCAGCACCCCGAGGTGAGCGTGGTTCCCCGGGCACTGCTGCCTTGTCCGTCTGTCTGGAGCAGTTACCGCGGCTGCCGGGGATTATTTTTCGGAGCAGGTGGTGACATTTTTCCCCAGCTGGGTGTGAGCTGTACCTGCGGGGTTTGGGAGCAGCAGGAGCCCAAGGGGAGCGTGCCCTGGGTTAATGAGGTGCTGCAGACAGCGCAGCTAAACCCAGCCTGGCACGGCCCAATTTCCAGTTTAATTAGAAACCTGCAGCTCCCGCTCACGCCTTAATTCACTTTTTTCCCTTTTTTGCCAGCTCAGCCTCTCACAGGGTGGGTGAGAGCTGTGTTTAGGAAGGGTGGGTGCTGCTGTGAGCTGTGTTTAAGAAGGGTGGGTGCTGCTGGCTGTCCTCATGCCCCTGTCATGCCCACCTTTGTGTTTGCCATGGCACTACGGCGCTGTGCCCACCAGAGCAGCTGAGCCGGGCAGGGGGTGCCTCTCTGGGCCAGGAGGAGCAGCTGGCACCTGCAGGACTGGCAGAATCCACCTCGCCCCTCAATTTCCTTGGGGATGCCACAGCTGGGAACAGCTCTGAAGGGCCCAAGGAGGGTGCAAGGACCTGGCACACGCTCCCGTGCCAGCTCTGGGGTTACAGAGACGCTATCAGTGCTGGGGAGAAGGTTTGTGCAGCAAGCAGAACTTCAGTAATTAGCAGAGCAATTGTAAAGTACAGTGATTAGTGGCTAATTGCTGCTGCAGAAGGAATCAAGGCAGCCTTTTTCTCCTTCCTCCATGTGGGATGGCTGATCTCTCTTTCCTGGGAGAACTTGTGTCTGGTCCCTGTCCTTGATGGCGGGATAGGACAAGGGGGAAATGCTTTAAGATGAGGGATGGTAGGTTTAGATTTGATATTAGACAGAAATTCTTCCCCGTGAGGGTGGTGAGGCCCCGGCTCAGGTTTTCCAGAGGAGCTGGGATGCTCTGGGTGGAGCATGGCAGCGTGGTGTTCTGGTGATGTTCTCAGCTGGCAGCAGTGGCTCTAGAGCTGCTTGGGAGATGTGCATTGTGGAGAAGCTCAGCCTCTCAGGGGGTTTGGTGGCTACCAAGAGGCCTCAGGGCTGTTTTTAGAGCCCAGACAGGGAGGCAGTGGGAGGAATCCCTCTGGGAATCCCTCTGGGCATGGGTGTGATGCTCTGCCACCCTCGTGCAGCCCCTCGCTGTTGTACATCACACCCTCACTGCCACTGCCCCAGCCCCATCCTCACTGGGACAGCCTCAAGGTGCCTGGAGTTACTTATGGACAGCTTGTAGAAGAGACATATTTACTTAATAAATAAATACAAACAACATACGGCAGGTGCTAGCATGAAATACACACTACTGGTGTTGTGAGGGAGATAAGGTCTGAGGCTGGAGCTTTGCCCAGTGCAGCTTAACTTGCCCAGCTGGCACACACCAGGCTGCCCTGGATGGGTAACGGGACTGGCAGTGCAATCTGGAGCTGCTCAAGGGCACGTCAGAAGCTGCACACCTGGAGGGATAAATATATTAACGCAGGGAAATATATTATCCAGGGAAGCTTTGCCTTAGAATGCCTGGGGACACAAAGTCGGCCCTTCTCTGGGAGCCGGCGGGGCCCTCGGGCACATTTCTGGGTGCCTGCCCAGGGTAGGTCCCGGGAGTGGCAGCTGAGGGTCATGGCACACGTGGGCACACACAGCTGAGGGTCATGGCACACGTGGGCACACAGCTGAGGTCATGGCACACACAGCTGAGGGTCATGGCACACGTGGGCACACAGCTGAGGGTCATGGCACACACAGCTGAGGGTCATGGCACACGTGGGCACACAGCTGAGGGTCATGGCACACACAGCTGAGGGTCATGGCACACGTGGGCACAGGGCAGAGGACAGGGCAATGGGGCCCCGTGGACCTCGGGACGGTGTCAGGGCTTGTCCCCTCGTCTCTGCCAAGCTTGGTGCAGAGCAAGGGGGCTCTGCTCTGGCTGGATTTGTCAAAGCCTTGACCTAAAGCTGGGAGCTCTGCTGAGCTCTAAGGAGGCAGCAGCAGCAGCAGCAGCTGGTTTTGGGGTTTGGGTTTGGGGTTTGGGGCCATGGCTGGGCTTTGGGGCCAGCTCAGTCGGCCGCCACGGGCAGCGGCAGGAACAGGATCGCCTTCTGGCCGTAGTGAGTCCGCGGGCCCAGCTTGCTGTTCCCGTTCTTCTTCAGCCCCACAAACCAGTTCTTGTCCGCGTGCATTTTGGAGACGTAGGTGTTGTAATGGTTCTCCTCCAGCCTTTCCAGGAACAGACACTCCTCACCCAGTAACTGCTGCAAGAGAGCCCAGGGGAGGGACAGTGAGCGGGGCATGTTCCTGAGTGACAACCTCAGCTCAGCTCTCCCCTCTAAGGAGCCATCCAGACCCACCCCTGAGATTTCCACACCCCAGTAAAGCTCTTGGTTAAACTCTGGGTAGGTGATTTACTCCCCTGGGTCCCTCCTGTGGCAAGGTGTCTGTGACCTGGGAATTTTCTTTGGCACTGTCCAGTGCTCCATAAGCTGCTCCTGGCCCTGCTCCTGCTCTGGCCCTGAGCTGGCTGGTGGCAGCTGCAGGCTCAGAGCACAGAACCAGAACGGTTTGGGTGGGAAGGATTTAAAGACCATCGAGCTCCAGCCCTTTGCCATGGGCAGGGACACCTACACCGGGTGGCAGCTGCTGCTCCGGGTATGAAACACAATATTTATCGAGTGTCAGATAGGAAATACAATATTTGTCAGAGGCAGGGCAGTAAATGGTAAATAAATAGTAATAAATAAATAAATAAATAAATAAATAAATAAATAAATAAAATAAATAGTAAACTTGCTAATTTATTTATGTCCCCCCAAAATAAAGCCAGCTGCAGAGTGGCCGTGCAGCTGCCAGGATCACAAGCAGAGCCTGGTTACTGCCTGTGGTTTGCTTTACTCAGCTGTGAGGTGTCTGCAGCCCTCCAGCCCGGCCCTGTCTGGTCCCAGGGCATCCTCCCACCTACCGAGCCGTAGAGCAGCCCGTTGGTGTCCATGGCCAGGTACTGCCCCGACTGGGTGCTCTGGATGTGCACCACCCCCACGCTCTCTGCACTCAGCTGGAGCTGAACTGGGAGTAAAGAGAAAACAACAACAGTGAAAGGAAAATAGCAAAAAGGGGGAAAAAAAGCTGCCAGGAAGCTTAGTGGGGTATTTTGTTGAAGTCTGGCTTATAAAGAGTTTATAGGGAACAGTACAGTGTGTAATAAAAGTGTCTCCTTGTACCCTCTGCTTCAAAGAAATCCCACAGCCATCCTTCAGGAACCAAAGACCAATTTTTCCCTTATTTTACATCAAAGGAAGGACAGCCTTTTGGTTACGATGCTGGAATGGGACACAGGAGACTGGGGTTTTAATTCTGGCTCTAATTTACAAATTTCTCATGTGGTTTGACAAGACACTTAAGGAGTGACATATGAAGAAGTATTTTGAGAGCTGAGCCAGGGAAGGGCAGACTCCAGATGCTGCACTGCAACCCCCTGATCCAAAGCATCCCACCCGGCCCTCTGCTGCAGCTGGATTTATCCAGAGCATTGGAGATGGAGAATGGGGAAAGAGAAAAGGGCTGTGGCTGCAGTCACAGTGACTTGCAAATTCCAGCTCTTCCCAGCGATCGTTCCCATCTCGTAGGCAGCTTCTTTCCCTAAGATTTGTAACAGCAATATTTAGCTTGGTTGGAATGAAGTATGAACGGATGTCTCGGCTCCAGCTCCTTCCTTCCTTCCTGTTTATATTTAATTTATTTATCCTTACTTAGATGAAGTAAAAGGCAGTGCTACCTCTTGGCCTGGTGGAGCACCCATTGCAGTGAAATCTTTGCTGTAATGGTTCACATTCTTCATTTTTGGCGTTTCTCGCTCAGTAAGTGACAGTTCATTAGGAAGCAGTGTGGGTGCAGGTTTGCAGGAACCCTTGGCCCCCGTGCCTGCCTGCTTTGGGCTGGGAATGTGCCCTGGGAAAAGCCCAGCCCAGCTGCATTCCCCGAGGTGCTGCAGAGCTGGGACCTGGCCGAGGAGCAGCCCAGGGAGAAAAGAGGGAAACGGGATGGAAAGGATGATCTTGTTCTAAAAACTGTCCCTGAGAGAGGGGAGGGAGGGACCTTCCCACTGCCAGGGGGGATGTTGAGGGGTTTGGCCACAGAGGGAGGGAGAACAGTGGCTCAGGGGAAGGAGCTTGTGCACTAAATTCTTTCAGGTTCTCTTCTATGTCTTTACAGAGATTTTCTTCCATAAAGTAATGGGATGAAGGCGGCAAAAGGAGACTTTTTGTAGAGATGGGCATGAGCTTCATCCTGGAGAATCTGCAGAGTCCAGGTAAGATTTCCTTCCATTCCTTGGTGCAAGTTTAGAATGCCCACGCAAAAGATGTGGGAAGTGGATCCTGATGTGGGGCTGGACAACAAAGGTTAAGAGAGAGTGACTCCTTCTGCTCTTCCTAGAGATCCTCCCTGATTCTGAGGCCATTTAAGAGAATAATAAGAATTTTTGGTATTTGGAACAAAATGCACTTGGGCATGGGCAGTTGGCAGAGCACTGGTGCAGCTGCTGTCCTCACTGGGCTCCCAAGAACTCTTGTCCCTCCCTGGGTGTCCCTCCCTGTCCCAGCTGGGTGACAATGTCCCACAGTGCCAGTCAAGGTCTGGGCTGCTCCTCTTGCACACCAGGGAATGATGCTGAGGGTTCCATCACCTTCCAGGCATTCTGCAGGGGCAGGGCCGTGGGCAGCCACGGGTGCTCAGAGCAGGGCACCTCTCACCAGGGCTGCTCTGCTGGCACGCAGCCCTTCCAGGAGTTTCCTCTGTAAATATATTCCTATATCCCAGTTGATGAGATCATTTACAGGAGGTTCCTTCCTGGCAGAGGTTTGCAAACTCGTGGCCCCAGGCCAGCGGCCAGGGAGGAGTGGGATGCAGGACCTGCCTGCACTCACTGCCCAGTGCACAGTGCAGCCCTGGGGACCGTGCCAAGGTGATGGAGCTGCTTTTCCAGAGGGAAATAGGACTGGGCTGTGAGACAGCAGCCTGAGGCAGGGCACAGGAGTGGGCTCATGGCCTTGGTGGCTCCCCATGTCCCGGGAGATGCCATCTCGGTCCTGGCTTCTCCTTCTGACTCCAGCAAAACCTCTGGAAAATGCTGCAGAGACACTGCCTGAGCTCACACCACCTCTCCTGCTGCGTCTGTGAGCCCAGTCCTGTCTCTTGCAGATCCTTTGGGTCATCATCCAGCCTTTCCAGGGGTCTGAGGGTTCCGTGCCGGGGTTATTCCTGCCTGGAGGCTGGAGCTGCACGCTGTGTTTATCCAGCCTCAGGGGGCTCATCTTCATCCATCCCCCAGCCCTGCCTCGTGCTGGGGAGACAGTGTTTGTAATTAGAACTCGGCTCTGAACTGCCTGTTAGTAAAACAACAATAGCAAGAGGAAAGGTTACGTTTGGGGGGAGAAGCCACATGTGTGCTTGTGGTTTAAAGAAAATAAAACTGCTTTTCTTAGCACTTTGTAAGGCTGGCTTGGCTCCTCCCATTCCTTCCTTCTAACGAGATAGGAGCCTGGCAGGTCCCAGTGCCATTCCAGTAAATGTTCAGGATATGAACCCAGAGGCTGCTGCCAAGGGGAAGAGCCCAGCCCCGCTGCCCACGGAGCCCTGCAGGAGCTTTGCTGTGTGGCCTGTCCAGCTCTCCTGGGCAGCGGGTTAAAAAATCCTCTGAAGAGTTTTTGGTAATGCAGGAGCACAAAAAACACTGAATTCCCAATGATTCCTCAGTGGGACAAGTCAGTGGGAACAGCTCCTCCCAGCAGAGGTGCCAGTGTCCCACGGGCTGGAGCCACCAGGGTCACTGACTGCAGGGGTGGGGACAGCTAAGGGGAGACCCTGGCAAGGGTGACCCAGGAAACGGCTGTGGCACACGATGGCAGTGCAAGGACAGCACAGAATTCCACGTGGTGCTGTGTGTGAGGGATGCCAGGCTGCCCTGAGCCTCCCTGCCAGGGCCAGCTCCCCGTGCCAGCCAGCCCCGCTGTGCCCCTGTGCCTGCCTGCTTGCCATGAGGTGAAGCCACTGTCAGGTTCAGTACCAGAGATAACCACTCCTGTACCTCATATCCACACTGGCTGAACTCAAAATGTCCCTCAGATATTTTTGGAGGTTCCAGGCCCAGGTCAGAAGCATTTGGGACCCTTTTTCTCCTTCTTCATGCCCTCCATGTTTCACTGTGGTGTTGGCATTTTTCTGTTGGTTCAGGCTGGGGACACACTGTCCAACGTAGGTGACAGATATTGGCACGTTATTGTAAATCCAGCACAGGTAGTTTCTGGTATTTAATGTTTGTAACATCCCACTGAGGGCAGAGCCCCACACGCTGCCCTGCAGGACAGAGCTGCGGCAGGGCAGCAGAACATGGTAGAGATAAACAGAATAAACCACCTTGAAACCAGCACAGATTAATGACAACTTCTCCTTTGGCAGGGGGCTGACAGACAGAGACTTTCTCCAATCTGGGAATCACCAATACCACAGATTCCGACAGTGGCCCAGTCTGGTGGGTGTGCTGTCCCACCAGCCTCGTGCAGACCCCGTTTCCCGGCCGCCCCCTCCCCTCGCAGCCCCCCAGGACACACTGGCTGTGCTCACTGTGCTGGTCGCTGCGGTCCCTGGTGCCATCCACGGTGCCGTCCGGGAGGATGCGCAGGAAATGCCCCCCGTTGCTGCAGTACAGCAGTTTGGGCTTCTTGTAGTTCCCCGGGGGCAGGTTGAACTTCTCCGTCAGGGCGCTGAAGGTGGTGATCTCCCCCTCGGCCATCCCGCAGCCTGTGCCAGGGCCGGGCTGCAAGAGAGGTGGCAGCAGGGGTGGCACCGAGTGCTGGCACACGCTGCTGCTGCTGCTGGCAGGCTGTAAAGGCAGGCAGGGATGGAGCCCGAGGGTCTCAGGTGGCAGCAGGGGTGGCACTGAGTGCTGCTGCTGCTGCTGGCAGGCTTTAAAGGCAGGCAGGGCTGGAGCCCGGGGGTCCCAGGCTGGCCGGGGGCCGGTGATTCACAGCCCAAGGGGATGCTCCCCCAGCGTGGGAGGTGTGGGGGGATGTCTCCTGGCTGGGTGGGGCTGGGCAGGAGGGACTCTGTCCTTTTTAATTTTATCACAGTGAATTCTGTTTTTGTTCTCCCTTCTATTGACGTCCGTGCTAAAATTACACGCTCAGAAAACCAGTTTGAAAAACACCCAGCGTCTGATTGGAACCCACAAGAGGTGGGAAGGGAGCCCAGGTAAAAGTCTCTCTCCGCTATTATAACTCTCAAACACAATTATGAGCAGGAATTGCACACCCACTGCGTGTCAGGTAGTAAATATTGCTCATCTCTTGGCACTCTGCAGCTCACCTGCCCAGGACACACATGGAAAAGGTCAGGACACACGTTAGATGTGGTGGGAGAGGGGCAGGAGCTTTCACTGCCTGGGCTGAGCAGATTTACCAAGACTCTGATCAACAGCATTTGGAAAGTGGGAATTTTGAGCCTAGGACGTGCCATGAGTCAACCAGCAGCATCTCAGTGCCCAAAGAGGCTCCAAGAGGGCTGGAGAGGGGCTTTGGACAAGGATCTGAGGGACAGGATAAGGGGGAATGGCTTCTGCTGCGCAGGGCAGGGTTAGATAGGATTTTGGGAAGAAATCTTGCCCTGTGAAGGTGGGCAGGCCCTGGCACAGGGCCCTCAGCCCGGGCTGCCCCTGAATCCCTGGGAGTGCCCAAGACCAGGCTGGACACTGGGGCTTGGAGCAAGCTGCTCTAATGAAAGATCATATTGAAACCTCATTTTGCTGGAGACCGTGGTCACAATCCATGTTTAATGCACAATGCAGTGCCCAAACCTTAAAGCATCACCAGAGCAATCAAAGAAAGGAGCTGTGGACGTTGGAGGCTGAGCAGTGAGAAGTGCTGTCACAGAAGTGCCATCGCAGACGTGGCATCAGGAGATGCCACAGGTGGGGGCAGAGTCCCACGGATATTCCAGGTACAGTCATGCTTTTAGCCTAGAAACTACGTTTAAAATCTCCCACTCATTCATTCTGTCTTTCACACACAGAGTTCTGTAGTGCTTGGAGAGAAGTGGATTTACGAACAGAAAAAGACATGGCACAGAATAAATCTAGGTACAGGAAGTTGCTTTAAATGTCATGTATTCCCACAGCTATATTATGGAAAATATTTTATAATCAGTGTTTATATGTGTTTATAGATTGTAAAAATGTCTCTTTAGGACTGAGTTGTGCTGCTGGCACGCTGGGATGAGCCAGTACCACACAGTGTGGGCTTGCTGTGGTGCTTGGGGTGCCCTGGCAGATACTGAGGGTGGCAGCACACACACTCACACACGTGTACACACACAGAGAATCTCTAAACACTCGGCTCTAAACTCTTTAGTATTTCAAAACTCTGCAAAAGCAGCTGCAGGAAGGGAAAACTACTCCTGGAAATGGATTCCAGATGCCTGCAGAGAGTAAAAACCTTGGGAAGTTGGATTGCTGAAAGATGGATCCCTGGAAATAAAGAGTGTGGCTGTTGGTGAGAGCAGCCCCAGCCACTGCACCAGCTCTGCTTCCTACACAGACTTCAGCCCAGGCTCTCAGACGCCCCATTTGACACAGACTGGGATTTTGGGAAGTGCTTTCTGGAGTGACAACATGGGCCAGCCCCCACCTATTGGCATGAGGCTGGAGATGCAGCCTCAGAAGCTCTATGGCTCCCGGTGGTTTCCAGAGCAGGAGGTGCCAAATACAGACTCAACATGGTTTAACACCATTGTCAGGTGAAATTATTTCTTAGAGTGTCTAACAAATAGTTGTTTTTCTCTCAAGAAGCTATTTTTCTCTCAAGAAGTTATTTTTCTCTCAATAAAATAATAATATAAAGTTATTTTTCTCTCAAGACATCATACTTCTCATGCAGTAGTTCCGTTTCCTTGCCAGCTGCCAGCCTTTCCCTGAAGGACAAGCCAGGTCGCCCAGGCTGGCACACAGGGCTCTGGTCCTCCACTGGGCTTTAATCAACATCAGCAGCACTGGGTAATTTCCTAGAACCAAAGCTTTTCTTGAACCTTTATCTGAGGGTAAAAGGCACCCAGAAGTCTCCTGGGTTGATGATGGATGGTGTTGAGAAGCAAACACCCCAGCTCCAAGGGCTCTGAGCAGGATCTGCAGCCAGCAGGATGAGGAGCAGGCTGGATTCTACCACAGCCACCTCAGGGTCTGAGGGCATCTCCAGACAGCTTGACCAGAGCAGCTCAACTGGAAACAGCTTCTTCATCATCACTAATTTCCTCTAAGGTTATTTTTGCTATTTTCAGGAAGACTCCAGTGCTTGCCAGCTGCCCTGACTGCCCCAGCAAAGCTCAGTGAACACTTTTCCACTCCCCTTGTCTCCCCGGGCTAAATACTATCGCTGTTCTCAGACTTTACAGCCATGGAGCTGTTCCTCTACAAACACCACCACTCATGGCCCTAGCATTCCACTTTTGGCAGGAGCATGTTAGGTTTTTATGGGAATTAAAAAGCTTGAGTGAGAGAGAGAACCTGAACCAAAGACAACATAAAGGGCCTTATTTCTTTGGGTAGCGGCCCAACAATGCTATTAAATAGCTCAAAGCAGAGCAGAAAGCTCTCTCAAATATGCAAAGCTGAGAGACACCACACTCCAGTGGTTAGCTGGTGCCCCATGGAGAAAGGAGAACATTCCAGGAGGAGATGGCTGTAAGGGCAGGGCTGCTGCTGAGCTCTGAGCCCGCTGCTCACACCAGGACTGCATTTGGGGCCTGTTTGTCCACGAGCAGCTGTGCCTGTGGTCCCCTCTCCTCCAGCTCTGTGCCCAGCCTTGCTGTGCTGCCCGAGAGAAAAGCCCAGTGAGGAGGAGTCCCTGGGAGCTGCAGCCAGGGCACCTGCCCAGCACAGCCCAGCCCCATCCCTGCCGTGGGGAGCTGAGGGCACCCGGCTCACTCTGCTGGATGGAGATGCCAGCACCCCAAAGGACCAGAAATCTTTCTGAAGGTAAAAAAATACTTAAGAAGTGAGTTAAACCCAAATGCTCATTTGATCCAGGTCCTTCTGGGCCGTGGTAGCTGCGCTGAACTGCTCCCTACAGCTGTGAGGGACAGGAGCCCAGTGCAGGGCTGGAATAGCTGTGAAATTCTGAGAAGTTTGGGGTCGGTTCCAAACTTTATCACTGGCCAAACCAGTGGCTTTGATGTGAAATCCCAAACTCTGCAAGCATCTGACTCTGAGCATGGAGGGCTGGTTGTGCTGCCAATATCAGGCGTGTGAACTCTGAAATAACAGCACACGCTGGGAGCTGTGCAAGGAGCAGGGACCTCTCCTCTCCGTCTCTCTGATGCAGACTTCACCACACAGCACTTCTTGCATGACAGAGGTGGTGTTGATGGAAATGTGGGGATTCCTAATGGTCCAAAAGTCTTTTGCATGTCAGAATTTCCAGGAACTTTTGTGGCTTTTTTTTTTTTTTTTTTTTTTTTTTTTTTTTTTTATGGCTCCTGTGGCACAGATTTAGTGGCCAGCAAAGACTCAACCCAGAGGTAGCCAGCTAAGGTGAGGTATGAAATACCTGGCTACTACATGGAGGAAAGCAGAAAGCAGAAGTATCTCACCTTCTGGTTAAAACCAGATTGGATTGATTCAAGTGCATCAAAATTGTTCTTGGCTTTGGACACAATCTTTTATGTAGGGTTGGAAAGAAATGTTCTGCATGGCCTCTGAGTGGCCACGGTGATGAAAAGTGCAGCTAATCACAAGTGTCATTTGGGTGATCAGCTAAAGATCACACAGAGAGCTCCAGAGGGATGAGAACTGCTAAACCCAGGAGTCTCCTGAGGTTTTGTCCAACTCTGGCTAATGAGATCAGTGTCTCCTGAATCTGGCTGTGGTGAATTCAGTGGAAAGACTCCAGTTGGTTTCACTTTGGAAAGTGTTATTGTCTCCATTAAAGCAGGAATCCTGTTTGTTCCTGTGTGACTCAGCTGGGGTCAGACAGCATCACCTCCTGATGGGCTCCCTTCCCTTTCCCACTGCTGCCTGCAGCCACCTGAACAGAACAGTCACTTCCCAGGCAGTGCAGACACTCCACATGGGAATGGAAAGCTCTTAGAACAGGTAGAATATTTTAAAGGAATTCAGGCTCTGAATTGCCTTTCCCAGGGGTTCCTGTGAGCTTTGGGGCAATCTGAGATCTACCTGGGCATGTGGAACAAACATCTCCCAGATAAACAGGGATTTTATTCATGGTAAGTTTCAGATAACCATTTCGTGGGATGGATTTCCTCATCCAGGAGAGGATTTGAGACCAGGCAGAGGTTTCCTCATGCTCTGGTTGCTGCAGGAGCAGCTCAGTGGGTCTGGGGTTATCATCAGCATGGGCAGCCTGCAAGGGCTGCCTCTCCTCCTGAGGGCTGGCAGTGCAAGGCACAGCTCAAATTCCTTGGACTGAACATCCTCTTAGAAGGATTTAATAAATGATAAGCAAAACATATGATAAATATGTAATAGATCACTCTGTGACTATCAGTGGAATGCATTGGCTCGTTTCTAGTCTTGTTTATGGCCAGGTGATTTAATCTCTAGTGATGTGATTAACTGCTTAATGAAGTATTTATCAGCCAGGTTTCACCCTTTGCAAGTGGAATACGTTGTGTGACGTGCAACCAAAAGCATAAAAATCAATGTAACTAATGCCTGCTCTCATCATTCCCTGCTCTCCACCAGAAATCAGCCATTCCACTCGGCCACGCTGGATTTGTGGCAGGTAAAACAGAGGGGCTGTAAAAGATGAAACTTGAGCAGTTTTCCGAGTGGGTGCCACTAGTGGCTGATGACCAACCCAGCAGCATCCCGGGAGGGACAGGGTTGGCCCTTCCTGGCCCTGTGCCCTCAGGGATGCCCAAGGGGGAGCCCCATCCCCACCCTGGAACCAGGTGTGGCTTTTGCAGAGCTCTGAGCCTGGGACAGCCACTGCAACCTCCCACCAAACTGCTGCTGTCCCTGGGGAGCCAGGAAAACCAAGGGAACCTCCACTTCTAATTACCTGCCCGCCTCTCCCACCTCCCACCCACGGCCCTTCACCACCCGCTAATTAACTTAATTGCAGTCCCAGCCCCAGGAGCAAATCCAGGAGCTTTGCCAGGAAGGTCTTGTCCCTGTGTCCTGGCTCAGAGCAGGGGCAGGGACAGGAGCAGGAGCAGCAGTGGCTGCACACACAGACCCCGCAGATCCCACTGCCTCCTGTCCCGGATCTAACCTGTCTCCTGGAGCGAGCTGGGACCTGCTGGGTGGGGAGAACACCCCGGGCAGAGCATCACCAAAACTCAGTCCCTGCAGCCCAGGAGGCGATGCAAGAACCCCGGGTTTCCCCTTCCCTCCAGGATGCAGTGGGTCCTGTCTGCCCTTCCCAGGTTTCTGCCAAGACCAGTGCAAAGCATCGTCCCTGCTCCTGTGCTCTGCTGCCTCCCAGCACGTGGAGCTGGCTGGGAGCAGCCACTGCCCGGTGCCACGAGTGACACCAGACTCACCCCTGTCACCCGAGGAGGAGGAGGAGGAGGGTGGCTCTGTGCTGCCTTATGCTGAGGGCTCGGGGACGATGCACCAGGTGTGCCTTGTTTTGGGTTTGCCACTTGGGTTCTGGGCAGGGCTGTGGGCACCTCTCCTCCCTGGATCTGCCTGGGCTTGGCTTCCCAGGAAAGGGAGAGTGGAGAGCAGGTGAGATGCAGCTGCTCAGGGGGTGGCTGCAGGGATTTGTGATGATGTGGGGAACCCACGGGGTGCTCCGTGTGCCCTTTGGCTCCTGCTCAGCAGCCCTGCGGTGGGGTCCCATCTGCCCCTGCCTGGTTCCTGCTGGGGACACTGCAGTGCCTCTCCACTGTCCCTGTGCCCCCCTGCCACACCGGGCACAGAGTCAGACCGCAGAGCCCGGCTGGGGCTGGCTGGGCTGGCGCTGCAGGTGTGGCTGCCCCACATGCCCACAGACGGACACACGGACGGACGCACGGACGGCACCGAATGGCAAACCCAGCCCAGAAATTCCCTCTGTGCTGTTAATCCAAGTGGTGACCCGGCTCTCCTGTTGCACCACGTGTGAGCCCTGCAATGCCACCCCTCTGCTGAGCCCTGTCAGGCGTGTGCCCGTCCCTCTGTGTCCCGGCCACCCTCTGCCAGCCCTGGCACCCAGATGGGCCCAGCACCTCCCGGGCTGCTGCTGGTGCTCAGGGGCTGCAACTGGGAGGGAAAAGCAGGAATGCTCCCACGGTGTCAGGCTGCACTTCCTGCAGCTGGCCCTCTGAAGGGTGGCCAAGCCCAGCCGAGGGTTGGCACCAGCTTCAAAACTGGGATTTGAGTTTGGGTTCAGCCTTTATGCCCTGTCCTTCCCCAGAGAAGCAGAGGGTGCTGGAACCGAGGGTTTCATCTCCAGGCCAAGTGAAACCCCACATCCACCCTGGTGGTTAACCATCAGCAGACGTATCATCGCTCAGAAATCCAACTTCCTCCAGCACAGCCTCGGTCTGGGCTGTTCCAAGGAAAATCACTTGGTTTCTGGGTTCACCATCAGCTCAGCAGTGATTTACCATGAAAATGTGCAGGCAGTTAGTGGTGTTCATCCTGCAATGTTTGTGTAAGGGCTATACAGCTGCTCTTTTCAACATCTAAGTAAGCCTGGCTGGAAGAATCCTGTCCTTAATTCTGTTGCCCAATGTCTTATTTTAAATTCAGTCTCTAGTACCCCTGGATTCCAGCTCCTGTTTTTTTCCTCCAAGCTGCCTGGGTAAGGAGCTTAAGCTGTTGCTCAATAACAGTGCGATAAAAGCTCAAGTTAATAATGGCTATTACCAGGAAAATCCTCCAATAAATAATAATTTTCTTATCTGCATGACTTTGGGACTGGAGAAAACGCCTTCCCGTGAAAAGCTGCAGCATGTAGGAATGGGCAAGGAGTGTTTCAGAGGAAAGATCAGAGCAGGGCAAGCTCAGGGCTGAATCTTGTTAAATGGAGACAAGTGGGTCAGCAAAAAACCCTGGAATTAGTGTGGCTAAGTAGTCACTGGAGTAAATGAAGGAGAGCAGCTGTGCATCTCTACCTCTTGCGGTGTGCAAAGCAGACAGGTCACTGCTTTGGTCTGTGTTCCAGGCACAAATGGGGAATTGTCACCGTGGCAGGGGTGGCTCTGGAGGTCACCGAGCTCTCCGTGGTCACCCTCAGCTCTGGCCTGGAAATGAGCGTGAGCCACTCCTGGGGACCTGCCAGAGCCCTGGAAGGTACAGCCCTAATTCTGCTCCTGCTGTCCCAGACAGGGCACACCTGTGTCCCTGCAGAGCTGGGCACCTGTTTGGTCCTTGCTGTGACAAGTGTGACCACAGGCCATGTGACAGCAGCAGGAGCAGGCAGTGCAGCCACTCTGCTCCAAGGAAAACAGAGCCTGGCCTTGGTTTCCATTACAGAAGCCTCAGAGGGAAGGGGATGTGTTTTGGATGCCCCTTCTCCTCTCCGTAAACAACACAGCACCACAAAGGGCACGGTGCAGGACAGAAGGCTGCAATTTCAACACCCTGCTGAAGCTCAGCCCCGGAGGTTTCACCCACACTGGCTATTTCCAGCTCCCCGTGGGCAGCTCAGAGACACCGTGGCCTTTGTTGTGCCCGCTGTTTCCACAGCTGTGCCCGGGGAAAGCTCTGGGGCCAGGCTGGCCCACAGGGATGCAGCCAGGGATCATGGAATCACAGCATGCTTTGGGTTGGAAGGGACACTAAACTCATCCAGTCTCATCTCTGCCATGGGCAGGGACACCTTCCGCTGTGCCAGGCTGCTCCCAGCCCATCCAGCCTGGCCCGGGCACTGCCAGGGATCCAGGGGCAGCCAGAGCTGCTCTGCTGTGATAATCCAGACAGAAAAATGCCCTGGATTGTCTAAGTGGAAAAAACCCACGTTAAACCAAAAATGTTGAGACAACCAGGCAGAGTGTGTGGATCAGCAGCTGCTGTGCCCCCTGCCTGGCCACAGCCAGGACCCCAGTGGGTTTTTACCTTTTCCTTACTGGTGACCTGCACCTTCAGCCCTGCTCTGGGATCCCAGGGAGTCAGCGAGCATCCCCTGAGGTTTGGGGAGGATCACATCCCCACCAGGGTGGGCGTGAGCTCCAAGATCCCCTTTTGGGGTCTGGCAGCCAGTAACTCTTCCATCAAGTGGAATCTTTTGTGAACACCCTGCAGCAATGGGAATACTGAGGAAGGGGAAGGGAGGGTGTTTTACTTGATTTTAACTACTTGTACTTTGTGCCCAAGATTTAACCTTCAGTAGAGAATCAAGGAGATGGAAATGCCAGTGGAAAAAGTACACATTGGGGTAGTTTTGTGTACAACACCCACATGTCCTGTGGGGCTGTGCAGCTGTCGGAGAAACGATGGATCTCTCTGGGAAAAGCAAAGAACCTCTCTGGGGACAACATAACTGGGGTGGGGGAAAGCAGGGCAGCCTTGGGGTCTGCCAGCCATGGATACAGGCCAGGCCCTGAGCCAGGTCTGGGGGTTTGGCATGTCCTGTTTGGATGGCACAGGGATGCAGGATCTCCCTGTGCCCAAGGGACTGTCCCAGGCAGAGTGTGCCAGGGAGAGGGGCGGGCAGCAGATGGATTGTCTGGCACTGATCACATCATTTCCAGGGGGTTTGTGGCGTGCAGAGCATCTGGGATGGGCTGGGATCTGAGCTGGGATCTGAGCTGGGATCTGAGATTTGAGCTGGGATGTGAGCTGGGATCTGAGCTGGGATCTGAGCTGGGATGTGAGCTGGGATCTGAGCTGGGATCTGAGCTGGGACCTGAGCTGGGATCTGAGATCTGAGCTGGGATCTGAGCTGGGATGTGAGCTGGGATGTGAGCTGGGATCTGAGTTGGGATCTGAGCTGGGATCTGAGTTGGGATCTGAGCTGGGATTTGAGCTGGGATCTGGGCTGGGATCTGGGCTGGGATCTGGGCTGGGATCTGAGCTGGGATCTGAGCTGGGATGTGAGCTCATCTCGGGAGGCAGAGCAGGGTTTGTCACGGTGAAGATCTCCCCCTCCTGTCTGCCCTCAGCGGGGATGGGAGCGCAGGAGGAGCAGCACTCCTCAGGCTCCTGCCCCTGAGCACAGGGCAGGAATCTCAGTCTGGGGGAGCTGCCTGCCTGACCCCGGGGCTGGGAATGCCCCGTGGGACCATCAGGGTGGGCAGCTGTGCCCTCACCGGGGTCACTGCCAGGCTGGCTCCACCCTGGAGGGCTGTAACAGACCTGTGGATGTGGCACTCAGGGACAGGGGATAGTGGTGGCCTTGGCAGTGCTGGGGGAATGGTTGGACTCGATGATTTGAGAGGAGTTTTCTAAACTAAAGCTCTTGGATTCTGTGATTCTGCAGAAACAGGGTCCCTGCAGAGGTGAGAGCAGGCGAGGCTGGTCTGCAGGTGGGACAGGCAGATTTACCAACCCTGGAGCTGTGGGAAGGAAAGATCTGAGCTCAAGGCTGACACCCAAGTCTAAATTAAGAGGCAGGAGCAAGGACAGACTTTGTGAGCACCAGTGGGCCGTGAGTCATGGATGAACCGTGTGTCCAGACTGCTGTGGGCAGTGGGCAAACGCCCGGGAGGATGGCTCAGGGCAGACAACACCACTCCCTAAAAGAGTCTGAAGGGGACAAAAGGGTTTTAGATGCCATG